CACTGAGATCTACGTTTACAAGTTTGTAATTTTAAAATACTGTATATCCAACTCTGTTTCAAAATTCTTAACTATATTTTGGGCCGCAAATTAACAAAAAAAAAAAAGATCTTTAAAAAATCTATTTTTATGTTGCAAATCTTATAATAAAATTTTACTAATAACTACTTTTGCGTTTTAGATAAAAAATAATCTAATTGATTTATGTAAAAAAAAAAAATATATCTTGAAAAACTGTCAATTTCATTCCTTTTTTAGTACCTAGCCCAGCAATGCTCATTGGAAGGTTCTAGTGACAATTACTGGAACTAGATGGCTAATAGAAGGAAATAGAATGCTTCTAGATGGCGCAGCAAGTTCCAGTTATTATTGCTCATTGAAAGCTTCTAGTGAATTTTTGTCACTAAATGGAAGGTCTAGTAGCTTCCAATGGCTAAATAATTTTACAAATGAAGATATACAGTCAGACCTCCCTAAATTCATATTCCCTAAATGCATAGCATGGCTTTGTTTGGCCCAACTCATATGACGCCTGTGATTATTCTCCCGCTGCTTCACAAAATTCTATCACTGTTGGTGCTTCTACTATTGGAGATGAACGTGCTTGGTTCTCCAACCATGGTTCATGTGTTGATGTTTTCGCTCCCGTGAGTATATTATTTTATTCGTAATTATATATACTTAACCTCTAACTGTTTATTAATAGATATTTATTAATTTGTCCTTTATGTATTTTATTTAGGGAAAGGATGTCACTTCTGCTTGGATTGGCTCACGAACTGCCACCAACACTATCTCCGGAACTAGCATGGCTTCTCCTCATGTTGCTGGCTTAATTGCATACCTTTTATCTCTCCAACCTGATAATGAATCCGAATTCTTCTCTACACCTATAACTCCAAAAGAACTCAAAAATCTGATCATTGAGCTCTCTACAAAGAATGCTCTTGCAAAACTTCCTGCTAATACCGATAATTACTTGATATTTAACAACATTAACTAAATAACAGGACTTTTATGCTTAATTTTTCTTGTAAATTACAACCATCTTAAAGAGAAAGGATGTTAGAATCAAGAACATTTAATTTCTTATATAAATTTAATTTGGATGGTTTTCCTTTTATTAAATGTGTATGTTTCATTGTTATTAAATTTAATAAAGGATGTTGAAAACTACTCATTGCTTTTATTATATTATTTACAATTAATTTACATTTATGGTAATTCAATTTTTAACTAACAAACTGAACTGGTTCATTTGAAATATCTATTTTTCAAATTTTCTAGTTATAATTTATTGTGACGGATTAAAATAAAATATTATATAATGTAAAAAATAGACAAAAGCCACCGAAAAATAAAAATTGTTGAGGTGTATTTTTTAGGGTTAGATAGAAACCCTCATTTCATTTTAATCAGATTTCATTGTGATTCGGACATTTATTAGTCTAAAAGAGATTAAGTTTTTCCTATAAATTAGATTTCGAATCCCAATTAATCATTCTGTTATTTTGATCAAAAAATTTTTTTTATACGTACCAGTTTTCAGGCTGCGATAGTTTGTGGTATTTCTTCTAAAGCTTTTTTTGCAATCTTTGCTTTTCTGTATTATGAAATTTAATTTCATTACGAGTATCTTAGTATATAAACTGTGTAATTGTGTTTTATTAGTACGATAATACCTTTCAGGTGCATTCCTTTCGTATTTAACACCTTTACGAGGTTACTTCTAGGTGGTTTCTTTTCAGGTTTTGGTGGTAATCCAATACTAGTAGAATCAACGATTAAATACTCTCAATTTTTTCTCATATCAGCTAATTTTCTTCTGGTGCTTTCCATCTGGCTTTACTTCATAAATTGATATATTTAATATTGGTTTAAAATCTGATGATCTATATTGCTTTTTATATGATTATAATTTTTGAGGTGAAATGTATTTTGTTGTTGATCCTTTAATTACAACAGAATTATCTGTTATTACACCCTTTATTCCTTTTATTGCTTCTGAAATTATTCTCATTTATTATCGAGTGAATACGTATAATTTTTTTTTTTTTTTAGATAAAAAATCCGAAGAAACAGATATCAATCTAATCAATTGGGTTGCTGTAATTCTGTAACACATAAGCATTATTCATTTTTTTAAGTTCACAAATATCACGTAATAAAAACAAAATATTATCAAAATTTTGAACTTTTAAGTGGATGTTAATAATCAATCTTTAACATGTTACCATTTTTCTATGTTACGTACACTGATGTTTAAAATATCATATATATGTATAGTTAAGATTAGGGTGTAAAGATAAGGTTAGTTATACGTACTGTAAAGGTTTTAATGCAGTACGTATAAAATTTTTTTGAGTTCTACGTACCATTTTTACTTAAAACAGTACGTTGCAAATCATCTAATCACAAATATATGGGCTAGGTCGGTGTTGCCCATTGGAAGACTAATCATATTAGATTTTTTTTTTTATATGTATATTATATATATAGTAACTTTTAACAAGAACTAAGATATTTCTGGATTCTGTAATCTAATTTTAACGATTTTGGTATTATTAAATTTCGTCTTACTGAATATTATTAAAATCATCCAAATTGGATCATATAATCACAAGATATTACGTTTCAGAACTACTATTAAAATTAACAAAAAAAATTCTTATACAAATTTAAAAACAAGCTTTTTTGTAAATATCCTATAGTTAGATTTTAGCGATTTTGATATCGTTAGATTCGCTCAGTGAGATCAATTTAATAATATAAAAATATCTAAAATCCAATCATGGAATCTCGATATATTCACAAAAAACCTGTTTTTTAAAAATCTGTATAAAATCTTGGTAATTTTAATAGTAGTTTCGAATCGTGATATTTCGTGATCAAGTGATCCAATTTGGATGATTTCGATACCATTCGAATCGTCTCACTAAGACGAATCTATTCATAATACAGTCAGACCTTTCTAAATGCATAGCCTCGGGCGGCCAAAAAATCTTGCATTTAGAGAAGTATTGCATTTAGGGAGGTAAAAATCTATAAGCGTCATATGAGT